AGATTTTCTGTCTGGAGGTTGTAGCTAATAAACGCAACAGAACTGTATTTGCATTGTCTCTGGAGTTATTTGGGCTGAACCTGACAACTCTTCTGTTAAAGCGTGAAATGAAGGTTTATTTATTTATTATTAAATTTATATGCTGCCCATCTCCCCCAAAGGGTGACTCACAATTAAAAAATTAGCTCCAGGACACCCCCCTGCACACAAAGACACACCCTTTCTTCCTTGTTAATGTCATGCCCTGTTGTTGACCAATTCTAAGGTACCTTCTCCACTAAAATGGAGAGCAGCTTCCAAAGATTGCCCTTTTCACTTTTGCATCACAACCAGCTTGCAGTCCCTTGGGTGCAGAAACTGCTCAGTAGGTCTTTGCAGATACTGAACGTGGCCGCAAGAGGGCAGCAACGTCTTACTAAAGCTTCCGTTCATCCCCTTGGCATCCAGTTTGGAGGAGAAGTAGATCATGTGTTCTATTTTTTTAGACCTTCTCATGGGGCACACACCTACACACGTGCCTTTAGCCTCAGGAGGCATCCAAGATCCTCCTTATCTAAATCCCTGGATTTCAGATTATCTAGTAATCACAATCCTGGAATTAGCCCAGCGTAAAAGAGGAGGGTTCGACTAGAACACAGGGCAAAAGCTTCAGAGCCACTGCCTCTAAAGCAAAACAAAGAGGATCACCATAAACTCCAAATCAGACCCTTTCCCTTTTTATGCCAGAAGGTACCTTAAAATTTCCCCTTTTATCTTGGAGGAAAGTAACAACTGGAGCACCAGAGGCTTCAGTCCTGGGCCACATTCAGCATTTTTATCAATGACTTGGATGAAGGAATGGAGGGGACGTTTATCAAGTTTGCAGATGACGCAGAGCTGAGAGGGGTGGTTAATAGTGAAGATCAGTGTTTCTCAACCTCAGGAACTTTAAGAGGTGTGGACTTCAACTCCCAGAATTCCCCAGCCAGCATGGTGTAGATGAAAGTGAGAAGATTCAAAAAGATCTGACAGGCTTGATCAGTGGGTGGAAATTAACAGAATGGAGTTTATCAGGGTGAAACAGAACTGAATTTTTCTGTAGGAAAAATGCAAAGCACGAGCATAGGATGGGGGCAACCTGCCTTCACAGTAGTACCTGTGAAAGAGACTTGCATGTCCTTGTTTTTCTATCTTCTTAAAAACAGTTGGTGGGGAATTACCTGTTTTATAAGGGTCTGATTCCTTGGAATGCATTATCTATGTATCTGATATACATTTTATGAGTTGATGTGTACATCTGAGAATGAAATTAAGGGCTCAAGTTATTTCATCTTTGGGTGTGGTCATTCAGTCAACTTTGAGTCTAACGGTAGTATATCTAGCCCATATTTTACCATTTTGTGAAAGAGAATGTCATGAGCCAATCTGTCAAAAGCTTTCTTGAGGTCCAGGTATACTATATCTACAGGTAGTCCTCGACTTACGACCACATTTGGGACCAGAACATCTGTTGCTAAGTGATGTGGTCGTTAAGCAAATCACATGGTTGTTAAGTGAATCTGGCTTCCCCCATTGACTTTGCTTGTTGGAAGCCCCCTGGGAAGGTTGCAAAGGGCAATCATGTGATCCCACGATGCTGCAAATATCATAAATACACGCCTGTTGCCAAGTGCCCCAATTTTGATCATGTGATCACAGGGACACTGCGATGGTCGTAAGTGCGAGGACTGGTCATAAGTCACTTTTTTCAGCACCATCATAACTTCAAATGGTCATTAAACAAATGATCATACATCAAGGACTACCTGTATATCATTCCCCTGATCTACTAAGCTGAACTCCACCGAAGTTGATCAGGTTATTTATCTGCTAAGGATTAGATTGTGAATCTCGAGGGCTGAATTTGGCCTACCCACCAACTATACAGGCCTGAACACCAAACCACAGGGCAGTTTCGCAACTTAACTGCTTGCATGGTTGTAATACAGTGCCCCCTGCCCCTAAGCTTTTCTGGTTTTGTTTTAGCTGGATCTCACAACTGTAAAATTTGTTCTGAGAGATACCCAGAATCACAGCTCATACTCAGAGTCTGGATTCACACAACAGCCAAATGTAGGTTAACAAACCAAACAGACTGACATGTTATGGCTTAAGGCAATGTCCTGGTTCATACAACACGCTAAGACAACAGCTGGGTTCCCATAACATGCTGAAATATAACTACCCAACCCCATGTTTAGCCTAGTTGAGCATGCTGTGCGGATTCGGGCACAGAGGAATTTCTATGCAGTGGTGAGTCACTTCTTACCCTGGCACTGGATATTCTCGGTGCTGCCATGCAGCTGTGGTGTTTCCTTGGAAGCCAAAGGGGTGTGGGGTGCTTTCGCCCAAAGTATATTCTGAAAATCAATCAATGGAAAAACAAGAAGGCAAACACATGTTATGACTGAAGATCCATCTGGAAGTCAAAGGAGTCCAACAGTAAGAAAGTTCTCAGAGCTCCACTGGACTGGCTCATTGTATTTGTACCACACTTGGCTCATCAGGAAGTGTCAAACTGCTTGCTATCATAACATCGCATTATAGGGTCAGAAGGGACCTTCAGAGTCTTCTAGTCCAATCTCCTGCCCAGGGCAGATGTAGAGAGCCAAGGAGATCGATCTTGGAGAAGCAAGGCAACAATTGAATAAAGTATGTTTTAAGTCCAGGACACAGAAGAAGTGTGAGAAAGAGGATAAGACTCACTTCTCCCTAATTCACTAGAGGAAAACTCAGTCAGACTTTCAAGATTCTGTTACTATAGCTTCCATCAATATAGTTCCAACTAGACTTATGGAGTCTGTTTCCTGACCTGGTCTACCTCAAAGGGCTGACAGCAGGAATCCTCAGACCATCCCAGACAAATGGCTGTTCAACCTTGGTTTGAAAACCTCCAGCAGTGGAGCCCCCATGACCCCAGGAAGCAGGCTGTTCCACATAGCTTCACAGCTCTCAGAGTTAGGAAATTTTTCACAGGACTCAGAAACTTAAGGGAACACGGGTTCCAGAAACTCACTAAGGTTGGCCTTGCCCTTGATGAGATGAGTTTCTTTATTCACACCTAGAAACCCCAAGTGTTACCTGATGGGCTGGAGGAGAGGAAGGAGTAACCTGGTAGCCCACGTCCAGGCAGACTTCCGGTGGGCAAATTCTGAAGCCCAGGATACAATGTGCGCTGTGGGGAGAGAGTCAGGTTGAAAACATCTCCCATAACATTTTTCATCTATCAACCCATCAAATGTTCCTTTTAATAGATGTAATGGTATGTGGGAAAGACCTTGGGAGACGGGGCAAAGAGCCTAGGGAACAGTCAGATAAAAGACAGCATACCCCACAACTGGATAATGGAAGGGGCAAGAGGCTCAGAAAGGACCCTCCCTAGTTTCTTGGGCTGTTAAAGGAGACGGCAAGAAAATTGTACTTTCAGACTTGCAAGATTCTGTTAATGTAGCTTTACAATAAAGTAGAATTAGTTCATCTGGTCGTGTTTCCTGTCTGGTCTACCTGGTAAGGCTGATACCAATCTTGCAAGTCTGAAAGAGGGAGTGTGGGGTTTGCTGGCTGTTTATAGATACTAGTTTGCTCTGCCAGTTTTGATGGGGATGTGGTTTCCTCCACACTCAATAAAATGGCCATTTTTCCCCCCAAAGTTTTATCAATGCACATTTGTGTATCAGTAATGCAGAAGAGAAGGTACATCATATAGGAAAGAAATGGAATGAGAGGTAGGTCGCCCATGCAGCACTCCGGGCAATGTTTGAATTTAAGTTCTTAATGTTGGAACCAGGAAGGCCTTTTTATCAAATTATATCTGAACAAGTGGCAGTAGACCTCAGGATAGCTGGCACTCTTGGATGGAAGCCTCTGCAGTTTTATCTAGTAAAGTGAAAATATTTATTAAATTTATTCGCCGCCTGACTCCCAGTGACTCTGGGCAGTTGATTATGATTAGAGGTCTCAGGGCTAAAACAATCTTAAACTGTTTTCAGACTTTAAACAGATCAGGACATTGCAACTGAACTTGAACATCACAAATTACTCATTGTACTGGTCTCTATATAATAATAAAATAATAAAGAGAATAACATTCCCTTCCCACCCTTGGGCAGATAATTCTTGAATTTCACTCAGCACTCAGTAAGGCAGAACTCTACAATTCAGGGGCAAATGGATCCCACCCTACCCCCAAAATTAATTGCGCAGGATTTAGGAGTACATTTCCTAGGATGCTGCCAGTCCTTGGCTGAGGCAACCAGAGCAAGCGTAGCCTAGCTGTGAAGTCATAGGTAATGTGCAGCCCCAGATTCATCTACAGGCAGTCCTTGCTTAACAACCGTTCGTTTAACGACAGTTCAAAGTTATGATGGCTTCAGAAAAAGCGTTATATGACCTGTACTCCCACAAGTGTCGCAAACTGTCACAGCACCCCCTGCGGTCACATGATTGTGATTTGCTACCTTTTTTTATGACAGTCATTAAGCGTTGAGGTTGTTAAGTGAATCACATGGTCATTAAGCCAATCACATGGTTGTTAAGCAAATTCTGGCAAAACGTCCACTGGGGAAGCTGGATTAGCTTAACGACTGCAGTCATTTGCTTAACAACCATCATAAAAATGGTCATAAAACTGGTCCAGTCAAGTGGTGACTCACTTAACAACCGCCCAGCTTGACCAATTTTCCAGTCCCTATTGTGGTCATTAAGTGAGGACTACCTGTAATGTCAAAAGCTCTGGGTGTTTGTGAGTGACCAGTATTCCATTCAGGAATAATTTGTTCTTTCTTGAGCAACCCTTCAGGTACACAGAAAGAGGTGGACAACTGAGAAGGACTGGTCCCACCCATTTTTTATTTTGCTCCACCCATCGCTGGCTTTAGCCCTGCCTATATCTGCATATGGCCTTTACCCTCTTGGCATTTGGCTGTGCTCTCAAAGTTGTGTATTTGGATTATCTACCCCCAAACATAGATGGATATCGTTACTCACAGCTGATGTCAGATTGTTCCTGCTTGCAGATGGGTGCCCTTCCACCCGATGAGAGTCAGCCCCCAGGTAGAGCGGAGGAGGAGTTTTGCTTGATAACACACGGCTGAGGTTGCTATGAGAGAAGATCGAGTACCCGATACCTGCAGGGTCAGAAAAGGGACGGAGCTCAGACTGATGACTGCCCAGAGGACGTAACTCCTGATTATAGGTGGGCGGCAGCCTGTGGCTACCCTCCCTGAAGCCCTGTTCCTAGATCCCCCTCCTTACCAAGACACTGAAATGCAGTGGTATGGCTTGTCACTGAGAGGGCAGGAAACCACTGTTTAAATAATTATTTAGTAGGTTTTCCTTGCTTTTGTTTCTATTTGCATAACACTTAGAAGAGTTTTTGGGCCATCTGGAGGATTGTAAAATTTTTTATGGCCCCACCAGCCTTGCCCCATTGATATTATGGTCTAATGATGTCTAGCTGACATCGCTGCCCTCTCTACCATAATCCTCAGCTTATGTCTGTTTAAATGTCTGTTAAATCCAAATTTATGTCATTTGTGCAAATGAAGTAAATTGATGCAAAAGCATCAATTATATAATTCTACAAATGACAGAAAGTGAAATGAATGATATAAAGTCAATTATGCAAAAGGTGATGTAAATTGATGCAAATGATGTCAAAGTATCAATTATTCAATTACACAAATGTCCGTACAAATTTTGGAAACAACAGGCTGGTCTGGTATTTCACGGATGAAAGAATACAAATGTGGTCCATTGAATCAAAAGTTTGTTCATCAAAGTTTCACAGTGGAACTCAAACATGGAATCACAAAGGCTGAGAGACATAAAATATGCTGCCAGGCAAAATAAAGGGGAAAAAAGGCTTGGGGGAGTGCAAGGATGTGTGTGTAGGAACTATATCTTTTCCCAGGATCACATGATGTTGGTGAAAAAGATTAATCTGCTTTAAGGAGCTGCTGGCAGTTGTTATGTGAGCACTTTTTGGCTCTGGATCTGAAACGGATCCAAAAGCTCAAGATGCATATAAAAAAATGATCAGGTTTTGATCACGCAGTTGCAAACACCACCTTGACTTATTTGACCCTGCACCCACGGACACCCCTGTTAGAAATCTAAGTGGCTGAATTTGCCCAAGCTGGATGCTTTTAACTATGGGGGCTTTTCGTGATTTAGAGGAAACTTTGAAAATGGGTTAACTTACTGAGTTGAGTATGTTGCAGAAGCACCATTAAGACATAGGATTCCACCTCCTCCTTATTTAAACAACCCATCTGCTTATTTACATTTTCCCCTATCCTTGTTTTAAAACACAGAAATTCTTCCTTATTGCAAGTCTGGATCTCACCCTGTTAAACTTCCACTCATGGGTTCTTGCCTTATGCTCAGGGACTATGGAGAATAAATCCACCCCCTCTGTTCTGTGATCACCAGTTAAGGATTGAAGACTGCTACCATATTCTCCTTCTTTAGGCTAAACAGACCCAGTTCCTTCAGGTCTTCTTCACAAGATTTAGCCTCTAAACCCTCACCATCTTTGTGGCTCTTCTCCACACTCTTTCCAGTTTCTCAATATCAATTTTGTATTGTGGAGACCTGAACCGGACGTAGTATTCCGGCTGCGGTCTGGCCAGTATAGAGGAAAAAGTAACTTCCCATGATCTCAACATTATATCTCTGTGGTATAATGGCTCTTTTAGCAGCTCCAACACACTGTTGGCTCATGTTTAATCTCATGTTTAACCATGTTTAATTAAGATTAAGCATGGACAAGGACTACTGTTAAGCCAGGTACCACCTATCTTGTACCTGCGCGTTTTCCTGCTTTTTTTCAACCCACTCTGGGAATTCTGAAAAGGATCAGTGGCAACAAAGCCCTGAATAGCTCTGGAAATCCAGAGTGATAATACATGTGGTGGGGGGAGAGGAAGGAAGAATCTTGACATATCTCTAGCTGTAAGTACATCTAAATGATCTATGCCAGTGTTTCTCAGCCTTGTCAGCTTTAAGATGTGTGGACTTCAACTCCCAGAATTCCCCCCCCCCCCATTCTTGGGGTGGGAATTTCGGGGGGGGCAGTACACAAAATCTAAAATGTATATGGGGGGGGAAAACTAGAAAAATAACTTATATATATTT